AAACGTACGCATGCGCCGTCAGAGCAATCAATATCAAATCATAACGGTAAAGTGCATTAAATAGGTGGTCAGAAATAGGTTTTCATCAAAGCAGTACTCGTTACCAAGGAATGAGCAAAATTCAAGGAAGAATCGAACATAATTCTCGATAGGATGGAAAGTCTTGATAGGAATTCAGTTCTCTTTCATCAGTATTCATCAAGACTGAATTCCTAGGGGGGCATTTGTTAGGGCTACTCGAAAACCATATGAGTCGAAAGCTACATTCACGAAGGTGCTCGGAAGAAAGATAAAAATCAACACCTATTGAGAACTTATAATGAGTCTTGATTGTTTGTACTTAGGATATAGTCGAATAGAGATTGGTCGAATAGAGCTCGAAAAAGTGGGAAAAGAAGTTATTGGAGATTCCTGACAGTTAAGGCGCACTAAGGTGGTTATTAAGGACCGAATCGAGAAAGATAAAACAAGGCATGAACGATTATGAGAAGTTACGATTTAAAGCCATGTAATAAGCATAGTGGATAGCGATTATCCTCTAATGGCATACATGCACGACCGCTCTTGATTGGCTCTATAAATACAAGAGTTATGCATCTTCACAGGGGTCAGAAAATTCATACTTGAACTCTGAAGCACTCACCGCCTGCGCATATGGCTTTCGTGCAAAGAATTGTTTTTGAGTATGATCACTTCTCGGCCACATTTCTTTTCTCTTTTTAGGATTAGGATTAGTGTAGTTTTGCTTTTGTTAATCACATAGTGTAGTTGTGTAATTGTAGTAACATGCTTCAACATTTTAATTGTAATTTGATCATTATACGAAGTGAACCATGATTTGTATTACTAGTATATCTATTGTTCATTCGGTTTATCTGAGTGCTTATGTGCATGAACATTATTGCCTGTTAATCATTGACGAATATTTGGAAACAAGTAATCATTGAAACTTTCTACTCCATCTCTCGTTTTGCATTTCATTTCATAAAAGGGTCAAATACCTAAATTGAAACACTTCTTGTGCTAGTTCGAATAAAAAGAATCTGTAAAATTACTTCCACCGTAAACATTAACATCATGATTTCGTGTGACGTTGGATGAATCTATTATTTGCCAAACATAGCTAACTGTTACATAATTATGTTTTTTTAACCATGAATTAAATATAAAACATCTATTGTTGAAAGTAATAACTAATTTTTGTATCATAAGCACACACAAAGGAAGTAAATATTATCCATAAAGGAAGTGAATATAATCCTTCAAATATTATTTTTTTCCACACTTTTGTTAACATAAAAGTTTAATAGTATCTGTTCCGATATGCCTAAAAGTCTCACATCGCTTAGGAGTCGAGGCTAAGTTTAGTTTATAAACACTTTCTCTCCTTAATCCATCGAGACGCCTTTTAAAGACAAAATCGTGACAGCCCAACGAGCGCCAAAACAGACAATACCTCAAATACGGTGACCCTAACGATAATAACGGAATGGTAGGAATATTTGGCGCTAGAGGAAGCAAACCGGACTTACGATAGGAACATTTGGCACCTGTCTAGGAGTCGAGGCTAACTTACAAGAATAATATCTAGCCTCTATATCTGTTTGTGAAAAGGAACATAACATTTAATCTTAGTTTTTTTTTTAATATAAATAATTTTGATATTAATTAATTTTTTTTCTTCTTTTTATAACAAAACAATCATATACAAACATTAAACATGTAAAAATAATATTTCAATAATAAAGTTAGACTCTCTTAGATTTACTACCTTGCAATCAGCTACGTAAGGTTTGTCTTGAACCCCACCACACAAAATATGTCAAAGTTGGATATTTGATAAAAATCTCTCGATCACACCAGAAGTTTTTGGTTAAAAGTCGCACTGGAAATCACTGCTTCATCGAAAGAGCACGGACATACCACAACAAATTCAAACTTTAGTTTTTAATTTAATTCAAATTCAATGCCTTGAGAATGTAAAGTCAAGGTGGTAGGTGCCTCTTCTTCAATCATTGTTCATTCCCTCGACACAATAAGAAACGTTTTAAAAGTCCTAATATTCTATTAACTTTTATTCACGCTTACGTTCCATATATATATTCCACTTATTCTGGCTACTTTTAAGGGACAAGTTAAATATATAATAAGGTTACTTTATTTTAATTCATCAAATCGTAAACACTTCTAAATTATTTTTCTTATAATTTAAATTGAATAAATGAATGACACCATCTTTTATACCTTCATACTTTTAAACCCCTTAAAGCACAAGTTAAAGTGAAAAACGTTATTATTACGGATTAAAATCATGCTTAAATCTAAAATCCTACCAAGTCAGGTAAAGGTCAAAGGGGATTAGTGGTAAGAAAAGAAATGGGAGTTGCTTGTCCCATAAAGCAACTCAAGCCCCCGGTTTTTTGTCATTGGAGAACTCTGACGTGACAACATGAGTTGCTTGAAGAAGAGAGAGTTGCATCCTTAAGTAATCGTTCATTACCAAATTTCAAGCAGATCTTATTGAACATATTTGGAAACGTTTCGAAAATAATAATGATGAAAATTAATTTCATATAATGTTTATGTATTTACTATTGTTTTATTTTATTTTTAATATCTACTTATTATGTATTTTTTCTTGTAATTTATTTTCTTTCATTGTAGTGCAATTATCCTTTTTAATAAAAATTTAAAGTTGGTTCATAAATGATTAGAAAAAAATTCTAAAAGTTAAATTTCTTAAAATTTCTTACCATTAGAGTAAATTTGTGTTTTAGTTACTTAATACTGACATGGCACACTAGAGACCATTTTTTTCATTTTTCAATACATGAAACAACTCAAATGAATTGCTTCCATTGAAGATGCCTTAAATTTATAACATCTCAAGATTTTGTGTACTTCAACCACTAGATGATATTAAAGCAAACATCCAAAGTATTTAAATATTTTAGCTCTTTACTTCTACATAATTTATGAAATCCAATCATTGTTTGGAAATCGTTAGTGGGCCTAGAAATTTAACTTATAGTATTTCTTTTATCCCTAGTTTCAGTATGCCACAGTATAAAACTCTGAGACACGGAAATGTTATAGTATAATCACATGCCATAGCCAATAACAGAATGCTACTGATGCGAAATGCTTCCTAGAACTTAGGGAGTGACTATCTAATTGTTTAATTGGGCCTAGGCCTAATATCTAAATGGGAACATAAAGAAATATTGGGCTGAAACTGGAGTGGTTTCTAAGTTCGTTGATCACTTCCGTTAACGAACATTTCACTGATGGCTCGCATGATATATACACCTCCTTTATTTTTTAAGTACACCTCCTTTATTTTTTTTTAAATTATAAAATATTGTAATTTTTTTTTTCTAACTTTACACCTTTAATTTTCAATTTGCTACTTTCTTCTTCTTTTTCACACACTTTTTTTTTTCTCTTTCAATTTTCATATGCTACCAAAATAGGTGAGATAAGAAAAGGCAAGGGGATACATGTAAAAATTGAAGAAAAAAAAAAGGAAGATGTGTGAAAAAAAAGTACTAAATTAAATGTTGTAGATGTAAAATTAAAAAATTAAAAAATAAAAATATTTTAAAAATTTAATTATATTTTTTAAAAGGAGATATACTTATAGAAAAAAGGAAGTGTATATATCATGAACCTTCACTGATATGTATAACGCTTTTACTAAACACGATGGAATAAAACTATAGGCTACTAACTTGAACAATTACTTTGCAATATATCGTTGGAAGCTATTCGTGATTGCCCAGAAAATACTTTGCCAATGGGTTCAGCTCTCGCTGAAAATTTAGGAATTCTTATTTCTCATTGGAATCATAATCAGGACCACCGTCGACCCTTGTACAATTGTACCAGACAGGGAGTTGGGCCTATAACTATTTCCCATCTTGAAAATTGTGCTCCCATTATTCCAATTTGGAACTTCCATATCAATTTCCATTTGACCATTTCCAATCTACGTGTATATAAAAAAATGATCTTCTAAAATTAGAAGAAAAAAAGAACTTCGCATATCTAAAAGCATCCCCAATAGGTGTATCTTATACATGTATCTTAAATCACTTTATTAAATTCCATATTGCCTTGTCATATTTAAACAACTCATAAACAACTCACTACACTTTCACTTCAACACTAAAATTTTAAACAACTCATAAGATACTCTCATTTTTATGCATTATTTTTTTAATTTGTAACCAATTTTGTTTTATAGTTGGACCCAAAAAAAACAACTTTTTAAGTTAAGCAATTATAACTTTTATAAGGTAAAGGTGGTTAAAAATAAGCAATTCATATTGTCCCCTAAATTGTTTCCTATGGAGAAAAGATGTAAGATACAGTAACTTAAGTTTAAGATACACTTAAGATACCCTATTGTGAATACTCTAAAACCCTCTAAACATTTAATAAAGGTCTATTAAGGGTAAAATAAACCAAATTTACAAATGACAATAACATGCACAAAATTGAAATAATGTTGCCTGTGTAAGACATTAACTGCAAAACCATTGATACTCTGATGCCTGACCTAAACTAAAAATAACATTTTAGCTAAATTATGATTACAAAAGGGGAGAGAAGCACATTTCGGGCATCCAGAAACCATTTTTGATTTCTTTTTTTTTTTTTTTACAAAGATTCGGGACACTCAATCCAACTATTCAAGGAAGAAAAGTAACATCGAAATAGCATCCTCGTATATAAAACTAAACTCCAAGCCCAGAGGATGAAAAATCCAAAAATCATAAAACTCACGGCATCCCAGAATCCTCCCATTTTTAATATGATCAAACATATTTATCGAAATACAGCACAGAAATGAACTGGTTGCGGATATAGCATATATTCACAGGAAAAAAAGACCAACAAATGGCAGTGCCAGGAATGCAATTAAGAACATGGACAAGATGCAAATAAGCCCTTAAATATCTCAATTCGTCAGCTATTATAAGTGATCAAGAGCATGGACAAGATGCATATGAAACCAATCAGTTAATATTTTCCCTTTATGAAATGTTAACAAGAAAATTTATTTCATCCAAGGGGCAACATGGGTCCATGACAGCGGAAATAGCCATAAATAAAGCATAAAAGTCTGAAGAAGTCTTTGAACAAACATTCCAAGGTAACTTTGACCCCATACAATAGCAAAACATGAAATAGCATCTGTCCCAAGCAAAGGTTCCTGTCAAAAGAACGTGAACCAAATAACATTTAGGAAGTGCAACAACTCAATAGAAAATTAGGAGGAGTGGGAGCGGGTAAGAAGATCAACAGAGCATGTAAAAACTATCAAAGTGGAAACAAAACCTACAAATACAGACATCTCAAAGCTAACAACAATTCTAGCACTTCTAGGGTGAAATAGCTCCTTTGTTATCACTTACAATGCATAAAAACGATATATCACCCCAGCTTGGGAAAAACAAGAGACCAATGGAATCACAGATTCTGCAGTATGCTAAATTCACCTATTCATAACCCTCACTTGTGACAAATTATTTAATCAGAAAAAAAAAGAGAGAGGAAATATTGTTTGTTTAATTGTCGACTACCATTCACAGCTTTTGCAATTAAAACTTAAAGGTTGATTTAAAGCCTCAGAAGCCTGAGACAAGTCACAAACCAATTGCACCACAAAGGTAATAGTCAAGATCCTAAGCAAAAGGCAGAAGAACATCCCAAGTTCAAGATCTACCATCTAACTGAAGAATTTGCGAGTATTAATTGGGGGAAACCCTTGGTATATATAACCCTAATCGGAGAGGAGAGGAGCTTACAGTGTTGGAAGGAATGAGGGATGAGGAATGAGGAATGAGGAATCAGGCATTGGCGGGTTTGGGAATGAGAATAAGGGGCTGTTTGGAGTTGGAATTGCGGTGCTGTTCGCGAATCTTCTGCATCTGAAGCATCCTCTCCATGACAAGCTCGTACTGGCACTTCTCGTAGGAGTGGCGCTCGTCCTCGCACTTCCAGGGAAGGTAGAGCTCAGCCTGGCGGCACTTGTTGAGAGGGATGAGGAGGTGTGCGCACTGGTCTCTGTAAGCCAGGGGAACCCTAGCCTCCACCATCTCCTCCTGCGTCGCTATCATCTTCTTCGATGATCCTTCAAATTCCATCTTCTCTGATCAGATCGCTTCTACCCTTTCTTCCACGCCTCAGCCTCAGGGTTACGGAATTACTTTTTATCTTATAATATATATATTTAAAAAATTAAAAGTTTTATTTAAATTTAACTTAGTCTTCTCAAAAATTATTATTTTCAATTATTTGTATTATTATTATTATTTATTTGAACTAATTTTATATTTCATTGTTTTTTTTTGACAGATTATATTTATATGTTAAAATAATAAAAATAGGTTATTGATATGATTTGATTTTGTTGATAAATAATTTCTGTTTAAAAATTTGATTGAATATTTTAAAAAAGTTTCTTTTAAGATAATAAATAAGAGCACTTTTTTATAATAAATATAATTAAAATATTTTAATAAATGTAATATATATTTTATATAAGATTATGAAAATTAAATTTATCTGACCATTTTTTTAATAAGGATAAAATTAGTTATTTTTACATGGAGAGAGAATACTAATTTATTTTTGTTTGGCGTACACATTTACTTTTTGCCTTATTGGAGACCATTTTATCCTTAACTACTACCTCCATCACTCGTAAACCATTCACTACTCTGTTGTGAATTGTGATACCACTTTCCAGCCATGTAATGGGCCTAACTCAATACACAGCATATTGACCCAAGTAAACGAACCGAACCCGAATTGGCCCAATTGAATACAGAACAGATTGACCCGAGTAAAATATTCGATGATGAAGATTGAAGAGGTATTCTTGTTACAGCTAACCTTTTGTTTTTAATGCTATTGAAGAATTTTAGTATATCTTGAAAGTAGAAGAAGACTCATATTTGAAGGGAAATAACTGAAAAATTGACAAACGACGATTGATCATTTCAATTTACAATGTAAACTAAGAACGATAGATTAAATGCCAGAAAGACTCGAGGAAGAGTAACTCACAGTCAAACTGATCTCCCCGTAAATGAATCCCTGGTTCATTGTATGTAATTATTATTATTTCTAATATATATATATATATATTAAAGCAGATAAAAAAAATAATATGAGAATTATATGTTGGATTATTTTTTTTTTGTCAACATGACTATTTTGCTTTATAAAAACTATAGCAAATAATTTATGTTGTGGACCTAACGGGTTCTGTGAATATTTTTCTAATGAAACATTAGAGAGTCAGAAGATACTATTATATTAATAAAAAAAATCTAGAGAGGGTTATTTATATTTATTTTTAATTTTTATTTCATCTCTCTATCTTGTACTACTTTGTTGTATTTTTTTTATTTGTAAAAAATAATAATTCTAATGACAAAAATAAAATTTCAACTTAGGATTCCGACCAACTCTAATGGTTCACTTTTGTTATATGCGGAAAACAAAAGTAAATTTATAGGTTATTTGAATTTAAGATGGAAAATCTTAATAAACATTTTTAGGTTATTGATTAGAGAATAAAAGCTAACATCTCCTATGAAAAAAAATTCATAATCTGACAGTGATTTTTAATATATTTTCATTACTGCTATATACTAATATTTATTTATTGATTTTTAAATAACACCCTTAATAAACTTTTAAAAATACTCCGAATAAAAAGTGTGATGTTTAATTGTTTAAACATAATCTGGCCCACAAAAAAAATAATCACGAATCAAGACAATTGAGTAAGATGGCTTATTTAGGATCATATATAAGTGAATAGCTTCACTTAAGTACTCACCAAATTTGACAGATGCAATTGTTAGCTTCAATGGTCTTGGTATAGGAGTGACATCATCTCCACTTCAAACTTCATCCATGGCTACTCATCATCACAAAGCGAATGCTATCCTACCTATCCGTTTCTTCAAGATTATTCTTAAAACTAATCTTAAAAGGATTGTAAGCATTCCTACTTAATTAGTCTTCTAGCACGTTGCCAACCATGTCTGTGATATTTGATATTGATAATATTAGATTGAAATTTCATATATATATAAGATATAGAGATTTGATTAGGAAACACATAGTTCAGGTAAGTGCACGAGCATTGTTACACGCTAACCAATTGGTTCTTTGTAGAAAATACCTAACAAGTTTACAAGGAAATATGGAGGTGCCTTGCCAAATCCTGTGTTTATTAAGCCCCCTGATGGCACTGAATGGGAAGTGTATTGGGTAACAAAAAATGGTGAGGTTTGGTTGGAAAAAGGTTGGAAACAATTTGTTGAACATTATTCCCTAGATCAAGGCCATCTCATTTTCTTTGAATATCAAGGAACTTCCCATATTGACGTTCTCATACATGACCAGAGTGCACTAGAAATACGATATCCTTCTTCTGATGAAAAGGACAACCTTGATCACACTGATGAAGAACAAATGAGAGGTAAACATCATCATATTTATAGATGAGAAGTAATAGCATTCGTTTTTACATGTTCAATATCATGTCAGATCAAATATTTTGTTTATGATATCTAATAAAAGCAAGCGTGCAATTCACCAATCATGGAATTTCTAAATTTTCAAAAGTTGCTACATAAGATGTGTCTTTAACTAGGTGAGGTTTCTTTCTTTTGCATTCCACAGATGAGAAGCCTAGTCAAAGAGCTTCATCATTGAATCGGCCAATTCAAACTAGAGCAAGGGAAGTAGCAAGCAGTTTCATCTCAATCAATCCTTTTTTCACGGTTTTCTTGAAGCCTGCTCATGTGTTAGAAAGCTACCTGGTAGGATTAAACATGAAACATGTACATTAATTTGGTCCTGTATCCTACCTAGGTTATGTTCTAATAACTAGTGATATACACTATTATATTATGCAGGCTGTACCAGATATGAAAGGCATTTTTGAGAAGAAGGAGAAGTATGTGCATGTGAAGTTGCAGCTTGGAGAAAGATCATGGAATGTAAAGTTGCTCCTTAGTCAAAGATTTTCATTTGGAAGACTCTCTGCTGGCTGGTCTTTGTTTGCAAGTGAAAATGAATTGCAACCAGGAGACGTTTGTGTATTTGAACTCATTAGCAGGGATGATCCAGTATTCAAAGTTCATGTTTTCAAAAGGCAAGATTAATGGAGCTGTTGCTTTGTAGAGAATGTGAAGAAATATCACATTCCATCAAGAGATCTTTGCTTATTGTTATTTTTGAAATATTCAGGAAATAATATGAGATTGCCCTTGCCAATTTGGAACTACAATATCACCTTGAGCTAGAAAAATTTATTCATGAAAAGTTTAAAACAAGCCACCTGTAACAAAAGATAAGCGTGATGTCATCCAAAATTTTAAACACAAAGTTGAAAAATACAATCTGAAACTATAGTACGCCGAAAAATATTCTTCAACTTCAAAAAAAAAAAAAAAATGGTTGATGCGTATAGTATGCAAACTATAGTATGGAAAAATTGTCCATTATCCCACCAGATTTATTGTTGCAAATCCTGTTGAATAGAATATATATACGATGAGTTGTGGAACTGCACAAAAAGTCATTTACCATATATAAAACCAAAGGAAACAACTTACTGTGTAATTTAAACTTAGAGGTATAATTATCTATGTATCTTAGAGCACCTCCAGCGGGAGGTGCTTGTGCTGTATCTAAAAACTAAGCAACGGAGCTTAGAAGCATTTGTCATTGGAGTAATCTTACGTGGCATGAGAAGTTCTTATTTTTTTAGAACCGGAGCTTCAGCAAGCAACGGTGCTTAGCACTGTGAAATTTGAAATGGAGAGCTTTCATTGGTTCGTGCGGATCTTTGCTGGAAAGTGCACAATGGTTTTGCAAACAAAAGAAACCATCACCGCCACCTTCTCCACGGTCTCCGGATCCGAACCGTCGCCCGCACTGCACCGCCATGTTGTCCACCGTCTCCAGATCCGGACGCGCCCAGGCTCGCGCCGCTTCAGCCCCGTCCTAGCCAGCAACAGCCGCGGCCTGCTCCGAGAGGGTGGGATTCGAGTGGGAGTGAGAGTGGGTGTGAAGGAGAAGATGGAGGAAGCTGTGGAACGAGAGAGAGACCCCCTGTATTTATTATTGTAATTTTTTGTATTTTTTTATTATGTAATTTCTTTTTATTATTAAAATTTTTGTTATATTTTTTATTATATAATTTTTATTATTATTGAAATATGAGTTGTAAAAAAATTGAGGTGTCAAAAAGTGTAATATGAGTTGTAAAAAAGTTGAGGTGCTTATAAGCAATTGCCATTGGAGCAAAAGTTGTAAAAATGTAGTATGAGTTGCTTATAAATGACGTGGCACAGTGGGACCCATTTAAAGCGGTTGGGAGTTGCTTATAAGCAACTCCCACCGGAGATGCTCTTATAGTTTTAGAGATTTTACATTTTAATTTCTATAATTAAAACGCTTCATTTTAGTCTTTATATATGTATAATATTTTTTCACTACAACACAAGTGATATTTAGCAACATTTGAAAAATGTTACTAAATTATATATAAATGTTACTAAATTGTTTTACCAACATATTATCAAATGTTGTATATAGTCCATGTTGCTAAAGACTTTTAATAACACTTTTGCATAATCAGGTAATATTTTTTAAATGTTATCAAAATAGTATTTTTGTAACATTTTAATGATGTTGTCAAGATTTTGATAACTTTATAAAATAATAATTAATTTTAATTTAAATATTAAAATTAATTATTATATCTCCTAAACTTCTAGGAGTTCTTTAAGTTTTTAAGGAAAGACATTTTTAGTTAATCACCACTAATTATATATAGAATATCAAATTTCATTTATTTTAAATATAACTATATGAGTATATATACTCTTTATGAGTAATTAATTTATTCGATGTGAAACTTTAATTATGAGTTACAATTAGATATAAGAAAAATATACTTTTTTGACTTGACGTGGGACTTTGATTTTAGAAGCAATTATAGTAACACTTTTCAAAAAAATGTTACAAAATAACTTATGTAAAATTTTTTTACTCGATATGAGACTTTAATTTTAAAAATAATTAGAAAGAATAATATTGAAATAAAAAATGTTACTCTACTTATAATGACATTTTTCAAAAATGTTACAAAATAACATATTTATTTAATATATAGTAACATTTTAATAAATGTAAACAAAAAAAATGTTGCTAAAGGATTAAAATCTAGTAGTATTTCTTTAGTTTCTATGATCACCAAAAAAAATTTAGCCTCTATAATTTTATGAACTTTTCTTTTTAGTTTTTATAATCATATAAACCTTTTATTTTGGTTTCTAAAAATGGATGACATAGAATAAAATTGAACAAAAATAATATGTATAAAAATTAAAATAAAATATTTGTTATTGTAGAAATTAAACGATAAAGTTTGTGAAATTATAAAAATATGAAAAAATAAATTAAACCTTGAATTTATTACTAGCCAAGGAGGCTGAATAAGTCATAAACCTTGTCGCAAAATGCGGAAGAGATTTAAAAATACAAATGCCATATTCTCCAAAGTTTGTAATTGGGTTTCTACAACTTTGTGTAAGTGAGTTCTCAAATTAATTTATAGTAATTGTCACAAAAATAGTAATCTATGAAGATTTTACTAATTTCAGACATTTAATTCAAAATTATAGAAAATTATTAAGTTTCTATAATATTATTGTAAGTGAATCTTGAAGTTAATTTATGGTGATTTGAAATTGTCACAAAAATAATAATTTGTTAGTATTTTATCAACGTCAGATATTTTATTAAAAAAATAAAAAAAATAAAAGACTAAATTATATTTTTTTAATTTAAGATACTAATTAAAAATTCTAAAAGAAATTCAGAAAATTAAACTTCTCTTTTCTTTCCCCGTAGTTATGAAATATGGGATCTTTCTTTTTGGTTGGTTCATATTATGTTTCACCTGGGATAATTATGAATTTAGAAGTTGTAACACGCCAAGTCTGCAACATTATTGTATCATGAAAGAAAAATAGACACACAACTTATGATTTATGCTTGCGTGCTTGTAAAATGACTATGAGAGACTGCCATCATATTCTGAAGTTTGCAGGCCTATATTGTCATTACAGGGGTGCCATAATCACATTTTCTTATGGTCTTTTCACAGACATTGATAATTAATATTCATATCAAAGAAGCTTTTTCTTTCTCCCATATCGTCAGTGATATAGAAGGGTTATAATGACAATTGGGTAGGAGGAAGGTAACTTATTATTTATGATAACAATAATGGCTAGGAACACTCACTTTTTACTACAAACTTTTGTATTTTCTATAAATTTTTAATAGAAATGTTTTAACAGAGTCTGATTATATATAAATCTTGCTGTGTGAAGAAATTACTTAAGAGGGGTACGTGAGATCCAACAGAGAATGGTGTTGGTAAATATTCATGATCACAGAGGGAATGCTATGCTGCCTATCCGTTTCTTCAAGATCATTCTTAAAACTAATCTTCAAAGGATTGTAAGCATTTCTACTTCAGGTAAGTAGTGTTGCATGTATATCAGCATTGTTGCATGCTAACCAATAGATTCTTTGCAGAAAATACCCAACAAGTTTGCAATGAGATATGGTAGTGGCTTGCCAAATCCAGTGTTTATCAAGCCTCCAGATGGTACTGAATGGAAAGTGTATTGGACAACACAAAATGGTGAGGTTTGGTTGGAAAAAGGTTGGAAACAATTTGTTGAACATTATTCCCTAGATCAAGGACATCTCATTTTCTTTGAATATCAAGGAACTTCCCACATTGATGTACTCATACATGACCAAAGTTCTTTGGAAATAGAATATCCTTATTGTGATGAAAAGGACAACATTGATGATAATAATGATGATGTAATATTGGATGAATGGCCCGATCAGAAATCAAAACATATCACAGGTAATGGTTCATCGTTTCTTTCATTCTTAATCTCATAATATTACGACTTATTTTTATTTTTTTTCTAAATAAAGTTGAGTATCTCATTATATAACACAGAAGTATCATGTTTGTAGATGGTAATAAACATGGAAGTAGTACCATTAATTTTTTAAGCATCATGTTGGATCAAAATTTCCAAGATGCACCACAACGTGTCTTTAACTAGGTGAAGGTTCGTTTCTTTTGCATCCCACAGATGAGAAGCCTGGTCAGAGAACTTCATCATTGAATTGGCCAAAACAGAAAAGAGCACAGGAAGTAGCAAGCAATTTCATCTCATGCAATCCTTTTTTCACGCTTTTCATAAAGCCAGTTCATGTGGTACAAGTCCAGATGGTAGGATATGATTAAACAAACATGAAAACATTTACATACATTTATTTGGTCCTATCGTAGGTTTTGTTCTAATAACTCTAGTGAATCGTGATGTATACTATACTGTTATATTATGCAGGCTATACCAGATTTGAAAGGCATTATTGAGAAGAAGGAGAAGTATGTGACGCTGCAGTTTGGGGAAAGATCATGGAATGTAAAGTTCTCCTCTAGTCACAATAACTCCACTTCACGTAGCAGACTCTGTGCTGGTTGGTCCTTGTTTGCAAGAGAAAGTGAATTGCTACCAGGAGATGTTTGTGTATTTGAACTCATTAGCAGGGAGGATTTAGTTTTCAAAGTTCATGTTTTCCAAAGCCACACTTAAATTTCTGCACATGGAGTTGGAGTTTCTTTTTTTTTTTTTTTTTTTGTGAGAAATGGAAAGAAATGTCACATTTATTGTTAATTTTGAGATTTTGAAGAAAGAATCCTTTGGCCAATGAAATGGTTACCTTTACTAAATTTAGGAACTATACGTATTATCTTGAGCTAAAGCAATTTATTCATGAAAAGCCGTTGTTCTTGATCAAAATTATAGTCGTAATAATAATTATAGTCATAATAATAGTGTGAAGTTTATCTATATAAATATTCAAATTTAATTTTGATAGTGTAAATTTGTAAAAAAAAATTTACGATCTATAATTATTTAATAACTTGATGCTTCATTAAGCACGAGGCACAAAGTTTGTTTGAGTTATCACGAAGATATTTATATGCATGCTTTATTAAAAATGAGAATGTGTTTTGTTGTTTATCGGTGTTCTTAAGAAAGTACCATCGTGCACATTGGTAAACACGAGTGTGTTTCATAATATGATTGCACCATTTCATTTTTTTTAATATTTCTCCTGTTTGTTCTACACTTAATAAAAAAAATGAAATATTATCAAAGATCTAAGATTAAAAGGCAAAACAACATTAAATATTTAACAAAATTCATTATAGTTTGTTTCATTATAGTTAAATATTTCTTTTGCATCCCACAGGTGAGTAGCCTGCTCAAAGAACTTGCCCATTAAATTGGCCAAGACAAAGTAGAACACAGGAAGAAGACAGGAAGTAGCAAAAAATTTTATATCATGCAATACTTTTCTCAGAGTTTTCATAAAATCTGTTAGCCTAAGAAAATGTCGGCTGGTAGGGTTTAACACGAAACAAATACAATAATGCAGACTGTCCCAAGTTTAAAAGGTTTTGTAGGGAACAAAAAGAAATATGTATGCAACGTATATCACCTTAAGCTAGAAAAATCTATTCATGAAAAGTTCAGTAGCTGGAATAGAACAATGAAGACAAACCACCTATATACGTACAAGTGATATCTTAGTAAATAAGTAAAAAATTCTAATGAGGTTAGCTGAGTATCATCTTAGTAGATAAATAAAAAAAAATTATTCTATCAGTGATATCTTATTAGTTGAGTATATTCTAAACTAACAATTTCGTATATTGCTTTTTAAAGAAAGAAGCAATAGTATGTGTCTCTTGAAAAAGTTTTATATTTTCATTCAATTATAAAGTCACTTATATAAAATAGATTTGTTAACTTTATTTTATAATAAATATTTTAAAAATTAATGCACATCATAATTTATATTCGACATTCTAATGTAATTAAATTATTTTTAATATTTCAAGATTAATAAAGTAATTTTTTATTTAAAATCTATAGCACTTTAGAAAAAATACTTTTGTGGAGGGCTTGAAAGCCCAAAATAAACACAACTACAAAGTACAAACCATTGAATCTGGGATGGGGGCCATTGCATCATGCAACCTTTTCATAAATTTATGTACTTGAACTTTTATTAAAATTCTCTAGGAAGGAAGTTTATACTAGAAAAGGCCCAGAAAAGACACAAGTGTATTAATGATGAGAATTGAGTAGCTAGGAAGCAGTTGCTTTAATTTACTACGATTATAAATGCATAGAGCTGTACATTCTCCTATCACACACTATTTACCTTCCTTGTTCAGTTGTTCTTGCCTTGCACTTGCTAGAAAGCAGAAGTTACTACAAAACACTTCATGGCTGCTCTCCAGAACGCAATCCTGCCTATACGTTTCTTCAAGATTATCCTTAAATCAAATCTTCACACCATCGTAAGCATTCTTTCTTCCTACTTCACCCTTTACCATATGTCAGATTTTCATTTCACATATTTCTTGAGTTTATATAATATATATATTTTTATGTTTCTATTATATTTTAAACTTTTTTCCTTTCTCTTTTTCTCTCTTATTCTTAAAATATGTTGAATAACTATCATTTCTCTTTGACAAAGACATTAGATTCAAACCATATATACGTAAATATAAGCATCGGAGATTTGAATAGGCAAACACGTGAAGTTTTAGATGACTTTCTAATTATGAGCATTTTTTACATACTAACCATAGGGTTATTCACAGAAAATTCCCAACAAGTTTACTCAGAAATGTGGAAGGGGCTTGTCAAATCCAGTGTTTATCAAGCCTCCCGATGGAACTGAATGGAAAGTGCATTGGACAAATCAGAACGGTGAAGTTTGGTTCAAAAAGGGTTGGAAGGAATTTGTTGAAAATTATTCCCTAGATCATGGCCATTTGGTTTTGTTTAAATATGAAGGAACTTCTCACATGGATGTACTCATACTTGACCAGACTGAACTAGAAATACACTACCCTCTTTGTGACACTCCTCAAGAAAATGACAACCTTAACCAGAGTGACGATGATGAATCATCAGTTGTGGTTTTGGATGAATGGCCTCACCAAAATGCTGTTACACAATCGAGACCTCGAAAGAAAATGAGATGTATGGATCCCATTGTTTGTTTATTCTTTTAAGCAAAAGAGTTGGAATTTTTATAGTAGCTAGGCTTCGTTTGATTGTGTTTACATTTCGAATTTAATCATATTACTAGTGTGACATCTTCAATAAATAATGATTATTTTTGTTAATTTAATTTAGCAACACACCAAGATATTTCAACATTCTCAGTTTGTGTTATCTTATGATCTGGATGACACTACTTTGTGTTTTGGATACATTAATTCACAGGTGAGGAGGCTACTCGTGAAAGCACTAAAGCATGCCTGAATTGTCCGAAGGAAGCTAGAGCTCGTGGATTGGCTGAAAGATTCATCTCATGCAATCCATTTTTCACGGTTTTCATAAAACATTGTTATCTACAATCCAAGCTGGTGGGGTTAGACGTTAGACATTTGCATATTCATGATGAAGTCCTCCTAAGTTCTAAATTCTAACCATAGTGATAATATTATATTGTGCAGCTAATACGAAATTTGGAAGGCTATATTGGTAACACGAAGGATCATGTGACGTTGCTGTTTGGGGAAAGATCATGGATTGTCAAGTTGCTCCATTGTAATTGCCTCGGTTCTGGTTGGCTCAAGTTTACAAGGGAGGTCGATATACAACACGAAGACGTTTGTATCTTTGAACTGATTTGCGCAAAAAATTCAGTTTTCAAAGTTCATCTTTTCAGAAGCAAAAGTTAAAATCCATCTGCTTCGACTATTTTTCTTCTTGGTTTGTTTTTTGGAAGGAAATGTTACTTTCCGTTTGAATGTGGAGTGTAACTTTTGGATGTTGTAGTTAATTTTTAGATTTAAAGAACATGTGCGCTCCATCGTTAAGTTGGTGAGGACAAAATTCAGACAATAGTGTTCTTATTTTGTGGTCAAAATCTGTATTTTATCTCGGCAATTTACGTTTATAGATCATGAGTGATAAAAAAAAAAGGATTTTGATCTTGAAGAAAAAATTAGGATTAAATATTTCTGTAATTTCTTTTTATTTTAATTTTTTTAAAATTGAAATTATATTTTTTAATCTTCGATAATTTGTGATCTTTGTTAACTATTATAAGAACTTTAATATATAGAGTTTAAATATTTTTTTTATAAATTATATTTTATAATTGACTTTTCAGTAAAAATGAAGCAAATAATATTAATCAATGATTCTCTAATAACTATATTATAAGACCATAAAAATTAGTTAGAGAATTAGATGCATCATAATTACTAGTAGTGGAAAAACACTTCATGTTTCCGTTAAAAGAAGAAAAAATGACAAATAGTTTTAATAGATTCAACAGTTACTTGAAGAGTAGTTAAAAAAATAGTTTATAAAAATAAAAATGTCCCAAAAAAAAAATTGTGTAATCAAGAACTTTATATATTATTAAAGATAAACATTTTATATGTTATATTATGTAAAGTATTATACAATATTAATGAAGTAATAGGTTTATAGGATAATGGATAATGGCAATTTCATATATATATATATATATATATATATATATATTATTTTAAATCAATAAGTTAATTTATCAACTAATCCAAAAAAAATAAACAAGGGTATAATCTTTTATTTTATTTTTCTTGGCTCTTAACTTAAGTTTATAAGTTTTAAATAAATTATTTTTACCCAACAAACCCATAGTTTCCTACCTTTCTCGGTATAAGGATTTTTGAGTATATATATATATATATATATAATGGTCAAGCATAACAGTAAACATAAACTGTCTTCTAATTATAATTCATTATCAATAATAAATTTACTAATTTTTACTCTAATTATTTTGAAAATTATATACATGGTAATTTTTATTTTTCTATTGACAGTAAAATCTTTTATACTTACCGCATGAACGTTAAACATTAAATAATAAATATATAAATAAATAAGTGACGGCCAGATAATGATAACATGTATCTGGAAACCGCAGAAGATTGAATTATTACCACTAGTGACCCCTAGCTAGGTCCTTTACAAGTAACAGAGACACCAGCGACAGTAATTAACGTGGGGCCGCAGATTTGATAATTTCGTGCACAAGTAGCAGACATTTCCCATTTTCGTATGATTACCACGTTCGTTTAGGACTAGAAGTAGACTAGAAGTAGATCGCTCCTTTGAGGCATCAAACTTCTGGTTCAACGTTAAACAACAATGTCTTCTCATTACGGTGTTATTCACTTTTTCAAGAAGATTGAAGAAGACACCCTTCGAAATGGGAAGCTGGTAACCATGCATTCTTCTCTCCTCACTAGTATTCATTTACACTGCATGCATGTGTACCATCAATAAAATTAAATTTTCATATTTAGCACCAGCATGGCTGCTTTAATCTATATTCATCTTCATGATCATGCAAGTTATCCATACATTTTATTTTGTTCAAATCTTTCATTTTTCAATCACTTAGATTTTGGAAGCGTTGGCCCTTGAGGGCTATTTTCCTTTTCACTTTTTATTATGTTAACATCGATATATTTGAAGGCTATTGATAATATGTTTCTGACAGAGGATTCCTCGAAGTTTTGTGAACGAATGTTGGGAAGGAATAATATCTAATCCTGTACTCCTTCTACTTCCTAACGGTGCTAAATGGAATTTGAGATGCAAAAAACATGATGCTGATGTTTGGTTAACTAATAAATGGAAGAAATTTGCAGAATTCTATTCTTTGGATCAGGACCATCTTTTGGTGTTCAAATATGTGGGGAAGTCACAGTTTCATGTTATAATACTTGATCAAACTGGCTTGGAAATAAGGTACCCTTTGATGGAAGTAACTTCTGATGGAGAAGAGAATGGTAGTAATTCTTTACGCCAGAGTAAGAGGGCAAAACCCCCCTTACCATTTTCTCGTTCAACTAAGAAGTTGAAAACCAATCCAAGAAAGGAACCGAAATCTTTTCCAAGGCAAGATGTTGAAACCAGAGGTACTCAATCTCGAAGGACTCATGTACACCAATTTGATAATGGAATGCCTAAAATTAGAGGTGAGAGTGCACTTTATGGTATTGCATGTCACTTTATGTTTTTGTAACATTGATTCTTTAACAGGTGAAGAAGAAATCATGCATGCCGATAGGAGACCTTCAAAATCTAAGGTCATTCCAATTGATAAGGAGCAATCTGCTATAGAAAGAGCCAAGGCTTTCTGTTCTAACACTTCCATCATTATACAAATGAGAAAAACATACATTCAAAGTAATCTGGTATGGATCCCCCTTCTTCCAAAGCAGACCAATTATGTATGTGTAACGCATTTGAAACGATTACAAATTTTGCTTTTATATTAATTAATTTACATATCGTATTATTAATTAACAATACAATTTGTCAATGAAAATATTGATTCATGGCTAAGTTACCTCAAAACTTTGTCACTAACTTAATTTTGATCTAATTGGTATTTTGGTGTTAAATAAATGATTGAAACAGATCGTGCCAAGCAGATTTATAAGAAAGCACCAACGAAAGGAATGTGACAAAGTTATTCTTCGGACTTCTGATAATAGAACATGGGATGCCAAGTTATGTGTGAATCGATGCAATGGGCAACTTTATCTTTCTACTGGTTGGAAGGATTTTGTTAAGGATAATAACTTGGAAATAGGGGATGTATGTATTTTTGAGCAAATGAAGTCAGGAGGAACAATTTCATACACAGTTCTTCTTTTTCATGGTGAAGAAGAATCAAGTTCTCCAATCATAATTCCAGGTGATATGCAATTTGCAATTTTATGGATACATTATTTTATTTTTATTATTATTATTATTATTATTATTATTATTATTATTATTATTATTATTATTATTTTTATGTTGATAAGCTTATGAGGCTTTTTACCATAGTGGGACTCTTTTAAAAACATTTTACGCAAATGGGGCTGTTTTGTAATTAATTACATTTGGGACTGTTTACAACGGTGTCGCTATGACCTATAGTGACACCCGTGACACGTGACATTTTTTTTTGGTTTAGGTTGGGCTGGAATGAGTCACATCAATATTGTTATAAGCTGGGTCAGCACACTTGATGGATTAACAAAGACAATGTAGCTCGTAATGACACTGTATAAGAAAAAAATATAAAAAAAATAAAAATAATAGAAATGTAAAATAAAAATAATAAACTGAGTTATTTATTATATATTTATAAAAATAAAATTAAGTTTTTTAAAAATATAATTTTAAATTAAATTATATGAATTTTTTAAAAGAGGTGCTATGGGCCATAGTGACTTAGTGTCGCTATGAGTCATGGTGTCACGCATTTTGTATAATTTTTTTTTACAAATAATCGTGTTTTATTTTTAAATTTTCATTTTTATATTTTTAATTAAAAATACACAAATTAAATAATTTAAATCAAATTTTTTTAATTATATGTTTAATTTTAAAAAAATTGGGCAAAAAATAAGTAATTAAAAAAAAAGAAATAAAAAACAAAAATGGGTGTTGCTATGGGTAGCGACACCTTTTGCATATTTTTTTTTTTTGCAAATATTTATGTTTTATTTTTAAATTTTTGTTTTTATATTTTTAATTAAAACTACACAAATTAAAAAATTAAATTAAATTTATATATTTATATATTAATTTTATAAAAACTAGGGAAAAATAAGTAATTAAAATAAAAAGAAAAAAAATGTCAAACCTGTTTTTAATAAACTAGTATAAAAAAAACATACAAAAAAATAAAATTGAGGAAAGAAATATAAATAAAAATCGCACACACAAAAAAGTGAAGAAAAAAAATATAGAAAAATACAAAAAAAAGAATTATAAAATAAATTTAAAAAAAAATTAGTAAAATAAATCTGGAAAAAAAATGATCCAATTACCAAAAAATAAAATTTTGAAAAAAAAAACTAAGTTAGAATTACCAAAAAAATAAAATTTTGATAAAAATAACTAAGACAGAAAAACATAAAAAACTATAAAAAAAAAATAGGTTGGTGGCGCTATGGATCATAGCGACATTGTGTTATTACTTATTATAACCCATAGCGACTTTAGGTAAAAAAAAAAAAAAAAACTGGTGTTGTTATGGGTTATAACGATATCAGTTTTTTTTTTTCAAAATTTTTATTTTTTTTGAATTATTGGGTTTTTTTTTTTCTAGATTTATTGTACTAATTTTTTTTAAAGAAAATTATTTTATAATTCATTTCTGTGTTTTTTTTTATTATTTTTATTTATATAAATAAATTCTATTTTTATTTTTTTCATTTTTTATTATACACTATACATAATTTTTAAATAAAATATATTTGTTAAAAATTATTATATACTTAACATTCTAGTAAATTATTTTACAAAAATGTATTTAATTCTAGTAAATTATTTTTTTAAATTATTAACTTAATTTATTTTTTTCAAATTTTAATTTATATTATCAATTTCATATAAATTCATATTTATAAATTTATTATTTCTATAATTTTTTTATTTTATACATTTTTTTCTTTTTTATCTATTTAAATATTTATAAAAGTAGCGTTATGACTTATAGTCACTATTTTTTTACGCTTTTTATTTATTTAAATTATTAACTTAATTTCTTTTTTTCAAATTTTAATTTCTATTATGAATTTCATTTAAATTTGTATTTATAAACTTCCTTTTTCATTTTTTTTAAAACTATTTACTTATATTTTTTAAAAAAATTTATTTTATATTAAAAATGTGACATTGTAGGCTATAACGACTTTCATTGAAGTCGTTTTGTGTCGTCATAAACTATAACGACATTGTAAATATGACTTTCATGACTTTTTTGGAGTTATAAAAATTCACATGTCACTGGTGTCGTTATGACCCATAGCGACACCGTTAAAAAATGTCCTAAAGTGTAAATAGTTTAAAAACAGCACCATTTACGTAAATTGTTTTGCGAAAGTAACCCAAATTAGTCAATCAGCCAGCTTATGAGGATGGAGCCAACAGAAGTAAAGAAAACGGGCTTCAAAATAGTTTTGCTAAGAGGAGCAGTGATGGAATTCTTAAAAAGTCTTTGATGTTCTGCTTACTAGTTACTGGTTACTACCAACGCTTACTTATAATGTTGTTGTTTGTGGGCATGTTTCTCCTATCTTATTTAAACTTTTTGCTCTCTCTCTCTTTATGTTCTCTTAGATGCTGAAATTCCTAGATTCAACAACCAAAAGTTAGAGAATGACCCGAAGCCTAATGATGAGGTAGGAATGAATTAATTAGTGTAATATTGTTTTTTCACATGCAAACACATATATCTTAACCCTTAATTATAACTAATGAAATTGACTTTATTTGATTTGATGCGGTGAGCAGAGCATACCAATGGACTTGATCTGCGCATTGGGGAGAGATCGTGGCCTGTGACTGGGACGATTAATTGGAAAAGAAATGAAGTTTGTGTTTAATTGAGTAATTATAGTGTTATATCTTCCCGTGTGTCCCTTACGTAGCTTGGCATGTGGATATGAATTTTGGTATGGACGATCTTGGATCTTAAACGTTAACTTTGAATTCACATCCAAACGTATTTATATTCAAATCCGTGGTTAAAACGTTTTTTTTCTTCTTTCCTAATAAAAAATGCCATTATCTATTAACTGTATACATTTTTCTCTGAAAAGAATACAAATAATAGTGGTTGTACGCTGGTAATGCCAAATAAGTAATATCGACGACAACTGTAACAAAATGCACGATATATACTACTTTAAACTCTTACGAAATTAAATGGAAACAAAATGGCCTAAGTATTTTTTTTTTGTTACAAAAAGGCTTTAGTATAACAAACAAGTATAAATTGTCGTGTCATAAAAAATATATAGCATATTTACGTAGATTCTAAACGATTAATTTATCTACGAAGTTAATAATTAAAGATATATATTGAGACTAAATTATTCTTTTAGTTGGGATTAGGAATTCTCTTCATTTTATTTGTTTAAAAATAAAATTCATTTTAATATTTAAAAGAAAGTGCATTACTGTTGTAGAGATTTGTTTTATAAGAAACAAATTTTATATTTTAAAATAAAAATAATATAAAACATTACTGTTAAAATAACATTTCAAAGTATAAGATAAATGGTTAATGGTTCAAGAATATAAAATATTGAACAAAAATTAGTTTTTTTAAGATTCTGATATAAATGTAAGTTTTATTATATATATATATATATATATAATATAGAAAAAGGATAATAGGAAAATAAAATACAAGAAATTAAAAAATAACGTTTAAAAAAATATAATTTGAAGCAGTGTATCACATAATGATATAAGTTACTAAAAAAGTAAACTTTATTGATACTTAAATTATTTGTACACCAAAAAGCTTAAATAAGCTCATACAAGCTTAAATAACTCGTTTAAAACGATGACTGCTTTCTAATGTCATTATCGTAGTAGGAGATTAGTTGTGACGAATGTAAAAAATTATTTTAACCTATGGAGTTAATTATATATATATTTGTGATGTTAATAATTAATAATATAATTCGATAACATATTTAGTTAGATTTTAAATAATTATGTTCGCTATATAAATTATTAATAAAAATATATTATATTATAATAAATAAATTTATAGTTTGTCAATGTTTTTAATTTTCGCGACAAGATAACAATGACATGTATAATTGAAGGGTCTAGATTAATTATTTAAGTAGAGTATCCGAGTATTTTAATAAATTTTCTCACTTATAAATTAAAAAAATATAACTTGCATAAAAAATCACGAATAATTCAATTATATCATTGTATCGTTCTTTTTTTAATAAGATTAAAATTAATGATTAATTTTAATCTTATATGAGTTTGCGTCTTTTCCTAATTTATTTTTTTTGTAACAAAAAAAATATAACTAAAAAATATTTCAATAAAAAAAATCTCATAACATGAAATTTTACCTTATTCTAATCTGCACTTTCTATATATATATATATATATATATATATATATATATATTGTGCATAATTTAATTAAATAGTATATTTAATTAAAAAATTGTAAAAAATGATTAAGATAATTAAGACAACAAATAATATTTAAATTAACATAATTAAGTTA